TATATATAACTACANATATAACACACACACACACACACACACACACACACACACACATATATATAAATGTGTGTGTTATTTATTTATATATACATATATTTATATATATATATATGTATACATATACATCCACCTTGTGGTCATATAAAGTAGAAAATCCACTATTGTCGGATAGTCCAATGGTCCATACCAATTTGATGGAACTGATGTCCGTATGTGTAGTCGTTGGGCCGTTGACTTTTTTATGACCAGTCTTTGTTTGCACAGTTTTATGTTTTCTTGTCGAACCGGCGGCCCAATTTGCATAAACCGTCACTAAAGGCCATATCCATCGGGGTGGTACGAAATTCTTTTGTTTAGCCCTTTCTAAATTTTCCCTCAGAACATTGCGTTCAGCTGTGAGACGCGCGATTCGCAAATCTAACTCATTTTCCTCGCTCTTTAATTGTTGGATGCTTGTCATGATGATATATGACTTTCGCTATCGATTTAGAAAATGATATATATAAGTCACATCTAAAATAATAGCAACCTAACGAGGTAAAATTCTAGGGGGCCAAAGATATAATTGCATGTGTATCAAAATACGTATACATACATACAGCTTTATTTAAAAAATAAATCAGACAAGAGAAGGCTATGGTATATACTACATTTAAAAAATATGGTTCACTATATGTGCATATTTGGTGCTATATTTATAGCCTTCTGATGTCTTTCAGATATTATTATTTTATGTTGTACATGTAGCCTTCTTCTTCTAATATTTTGTTGTTGTGGAGTGTTGTTCTCTCTCTTGTCGTAAAAAAATAACTACATGCAGCAAAAAAATCATACATAGCCGGCAGCCCTCTCTAAATAAATAAATACAGGGGGTCACCGCATTCACCGGTCACACCGTCACAGTCCTGCCGCCGAATTTAGTGAAATTTCACTGAAATTTCGGTACTCTGTCTATGCCTTCGGGCATCAGGTACTACTGGAGACAACTAGAGATTCTATTGGTAAACCATCAGTCAAGTCAGCAGCGTATTGGGAAAATTCAACTATAGAATCAGTCATCTAGTTTGAATGATTGAAAGTTAATTTCTCGTACCCGGTAAAATCGTCGATTAGATATATACACTTTGCCAATATATTGGTTTACGAAACTTTCAAATCAGTCAACTTAGCAGTTCAGTGGACAAACTATTTTTAGAGAGATGCACTCACTGGCTATGATATAAACTTTGCTTTGGCGGTTAAATATCTAGTAGAGATTAGAGAGCATGTAATAAAAATACGATTTCTATTCTTTTATTATTACATACTATTACTACGAACAGTACATAGCTGATTCACATTCTACATACATACATAAATACATACATACATACATACATACATACATACATACACACACATACATACATATATA